ATATATATATATATATATATATATATGGATATATATATATATATATAGGCGAGTGATAAGGGAACGAAAAACAAGGTACACACACCCACGTTTTTTTAAACACAGTTATGAAAAGTCTCGATTGAATTTGTGATAACGGAACCTAATAATACTTTGGACAGTAATGACTTTTTGTCTAAAAAAACAAAAATCCTCAGCTTGTCTTTTGTCACAAACATCATCACTAACATGTAATTTACAGAGAAACCAATACCAGTGACTAGCATACATAATTACAATTACGTAAATTCATTCTAGTGTAAATTCATTGTTCATGCTTTGCATGATTAATATTTAGCTGTCTTGATCATACTTTATCCTGTAAGTGTGGCATGAAAGGATTACGAGACAGAGGACTGCTGGGGTGCTTTTTCCATTAAAAGGTTTGTTATCTAATTTCATTTTGGGAATGTTCTCTGTACTTTACAAGAATTATCTGACAACTATGCTGCAAGCACCTTTAAAATAAGCGATGAGCTTATTATAAATATAGACAGACGATCATTTTGCAAATCATTTTTGAAAGGTGCCTGCTGCTCAACATACCTCATAAACATTAATTATGACTGTTAAAACTATAATAAGTATTAGAGTGCCGGTTTAGACATCTAAAATCTAACTTTCTGTGAAATGCTTGAGCAATGTTTCTACTGGGAAGTCTGAGCCTTAGAGCAACAAAGGATGGGTTTTCTCATGTGTTTCAACAAATTTCCATTGATCTCTCATTTTTTCTCACATTTCTTTTTTTTATATATATATATATATATTTTTTTTTGCCCATTTTCTGCAACATATCAATCCCAAAGGTCATGCCACACTATTACTGAGCCAGCCTCATGTTTTGGCATATTATAAAGCTCCAGGATAGTAATAGGGATACTACAGGTTTATGCATTGACTGCCAATAGACTTTTTATTTTTATTTTGATGCAGCAACATCTTACAGTTTGATCTACTTGTAATAATAATTTTCTGTTATCTTGTGTTGTTGCCTGTGTGTATCTATATGAAATATTGCCAAAATAACCTGATATCACTCTGAAGCAGCTCAGCCTTCAGCTGGTGGTTTCTGTGACTTTCCCAAATGTCTGCAGTGCCTTTACCAGGCCCTGGGCTAAAAAGCTCCACCAGATGGCCTGTCCTTTTTCTCCTTTCGACCCGTGATGGAATGAAAAGATTAGCTAATTAAACAAAGTCCCATATCCATGTGAAAGAACCGTGAGAGTCCTCTGGGAGGGGAGCTGCCTGCAAATCAACTCTGCTGCTGCCACCCCCCACGGTTTGAATTGAACCCATTGCAGCAACACGTCACTCCCATAAAGCCTTTTATTTCCACCACACAGAGACACACTGGCAATCAAAAGTCAAGAGAGAAACAGGTAAACAAATGTGTATTTTTTTTTGTTTGTTGTTGTAAAGTTGTAGGGAGATTTCTATTAATACAAAACAGTGAAAATGTGTCTGTCAGCAGTAATTACATTAAGTGAGACTTTCGTTTCATTCTCCTTTAGGAAGAAACAAAACAATCAGCAGGTACAGTTGCATCAAAACACAAGAAATAACCAGTTTGAACACTGTTGCTTTTACTAAACTACTGACAAAGTAAAATAACTGAGCACTTCATTTCCTCACCAGAAACAGAAGTTTTAAGAAGACGTTTCTAAATATGGATTACGTTTTTGTCTGCGTGCATGAATCCATAATAATTTCTAGAGAAACTGTCAGGAGCTACAGGTTGTTGTCTCTGGTGCGTTTGGTTGTGTAGCTCAGTAGGCAGAGCAGAACGGTTTTAGGGCCACAATGGTGAGAGGCTGCACCGGCTGATGGGAGCGACTCAGGGCTGCTCAAAAGTCTGTGTGCGCCTCAGTTTGTCCCTGACCCGGACAAACTCTGGGATCTTCTGTTCGTTCTCCCGCTGTCTTATCTCTTCCTGCTCATACTGGAAAAGGAAATGGCAAATCAGTAAATAGGCTCACATCCAGCATCACAATAAATCTAAAAACACGGGGAGTTTATGTCCTCTCTGTTTAGAAATTCAAACTTCTGACAACTGAAGGGGAAAAACTCTTGGAATTTTTATTAATGTTCACAAATTGTTGCTATAGAAATTTAGGAAGCAATACATAATTTAATCAGGTATGCACCAGATAAGTACTACCGTATGTACTTACCCTATAAGTTCCTGGTTCTTACTTATTATGTACCAGGTATGCATACCTGGTACATATTAAGTAAAAACCTTGTACGTTATAAAAAACGTACACTGAAAATACCAGGTACATACCTAGGAAGTACCATGCAAGTACCAGGTATGTACCATGTAGTGATGTGCAGTCAGGGGAGGCAGTGCCTCACTTGTGATCATGACAAGTAAAATACTACAATGATAAGAGAAAATACATTTGACCACTTAAGTGTTCTATAAAACAGTTTTATAATACTGTTTTCTGAATTATTTCAACACTTCAATGGTCAAAATCATGGAATTTACACATTCATTCAACCTTTATTTATACAGGTTAATCCCATTGAGCCACGGGACTCATTTACAAGAGAGACCTGATTTCAACAAAGAAAGATGACAACAATGGACAATCATGAAAGGAAGCACAAATTGAGAAAAACAAGTGAAAGAAAATTGTATTAAAATGGATTGTAAGGCGATGTGGGATACTAAAAAAATATTGCCTGTTCAAACACATGGAAGAAATGTGGGGTGACTCGGGTGAGGCAGTGTAGTGCTGTGGTTCACCTCTGGGGGCGCTGTGTCATGTACAATATATGAAGTAAGCGGTTGGAGCATGCCCATTGCTGTCTCTCTTTATATGCCAATATGCATGTTTGATTACACACGTGCTACACATGCTGATGTTCTACAGTCTGTCTAATCTATTGAAGGAATGTGTGTGACATATTTCTTCTTTCTCACTGGTCATAACTGCACAGTGAAAATACACAGGGTGAGGCAGAAAGTACCTTGCCACACCAATAGGGGGCAGTGCTGCCCCATAGGGACAATGAAGCAGGTGCAGTCGCTGTGCGTTCTTCTGTTTCGCAGAGGGGTGGGGGTGAAGCAAACTGTACACTCGTTTAAATTTGTTTAGACAACATGGAAGATCATATCTCAAAACTAAAGCATTTTTCTAAACTCGATTTTCAGTCGAAACCTGGGTTCATGTGTGAGCATCCGATTCCAGACGAGTCAGTGCCACACCTGTCACAAACCTCACCGCACGTCACTGGTACCAGGTATGTACCTGGTACTAAATATGTACCTGTAAGTTCCTAGTACTTATTTATGTACTGAGTGTGTACATACCAAGTATTTACCAATATATATTTTATTTGCCTTATAATCTAACTGTTTTTGATACTTTTTTTGCCATCTTATCTGTAAATTTTTTTTAAAAATCTGTATGCCTTTTAATAACTGTCTATTGTTGTCGCTGTTGTCCATTGTTGTCATCACTCTTTGTTGAAATCAGGTCTCTTGTAAATGAGTCCTCGAGGCTCAATGGGATTTACCTGTCTAAATAAAGGTTGAATGAAAAAAACAAAATCTGGTGCGTACAAATTAAACATCATAAACATACTAGGCATGTGCCCTGTAAATACAGGTGCAAATCACGTAACAGGTACGTATCCACTAAATATCAGGTTTGTAGCTTGTAAGTACTAAGTGCATTCCCTGTAAGTAGCAGGTATGTATCTGTTAAGTAGCAGATACTTAGCTTGTAAGCACCAGGTACACAGCTGGTAAGTACCAGCTATGTACCCTGTAAGTACCAAATATATGGTAAGAAATACATAATACATCCTGATCCCCATAAGTATGTACCCGTTACGTACCCTGAAACAACTATTTACCCAGTACTTTTATGCCTGTGTTATGTATTTCCACCTAGATTTCAGTACAACATGATTTTCTGAGTGTTTAACTCTTTAAGTGGATTAAATTTCAGACCTCTTGCAGCTTCTGCTGCCTCTTGCGGAGCTCCGTCTCCAGATCTGAAGGCCTCCGTCGGGCCATCTCCTCCTCCTTGTGCAGCTCCAGTCTGCGCTGCTCCAGAACTCGCTTCAGCTCTGGTTTCTCCTCCAGCAGCAGGCCCCTGAGCAGGCAGCCAGGGCTACAGTTAGGCTCCGAACACAGACACGACGACTTCATCCAGTCTCTGTGTCTGGCTGACATAAAGCCAGGTGCACTCAGTGTTGGACCAACCGTTTATGGCTCAGCAGCAGCTCCCGGTGCAGATTCTGGTAGCTCGGCGTCTCTGCTGAGGAACCGTTGAGTTTTTTAGGTTGGTTGATTTCAGCACCGCTGGAGTCTGCTGCAGCGTTACGAGACACAGGCAGGTGGCCTACAGGGGTGTCTAAGGAAAATGAGGAGGAAGAGGATTAAAATTACAGTTGTTGCATCGAACTTTTGTCTCCTTTATTTGTTATTGTTTTATCTGCTGAATGTAGCTTGATTTACAGTAAGCACCTGCGCTTTCTGATACCTTTTTTAGCAGGTCCATATCCAGGTTTCTGTGAATTTGTGACAAAAAACAAACAAAAAAATATATATAAGTCGGTTATTCCTCCATGAAACAATTTTATATTCAAGCCAAACATGCCTCTGATTAACCAGAACTGGTTTGTTGAATTACCTCCGTTTTGATCATCTCCTTAGACAAAGGTTATATTTAGACAAAGGTTAAAAGTGACAGTGCCTGACGTGCTGCTTAAGCAGGCGATCTGTGTTTACAAAGGTGACATAACAGACGTCCTCGAAGACTCACGCAGGTTTGACCTGACTGTGGCAGTCTTTGGCAAAGGATGCAACTCTACTTGAATAAAAAGAGATTACATATTGTTAACGCGTTTCGCTTTGAACAAAACAACATGGAATGAAAACACGACTTCCTTCTGTGACACAGTCAGCCAGAGACCATTACAGCACCCAGTGAAACCAGAGAACCTGGAGTAAAGAATCCCACAACGGCAGCAGCAGATGGTACATGGTCAAAGTCCAGGGAGATGAGTACTTTCTCTGTTAAAAAAAAAAAAAAGCTTCTGTCAAAAACTATCCAATAGCCGAGCTTTAGGATCCTCCGGCTTTGTCTCTGGGGATTGGAACCTTTTCACGGTTTCTGCAAGGGGCGTACAGTAAGCCTCCACATCCTGTCCCTCGCCAGAAACCTGCAGGAAATTTGAGCCGTCAGGTGTCTGACCTGATCCAAGCATTGTTCCAGTGAAGACCTGCAGGACTCAGGTGGATTACAGAGAAAATTTGAAAGTGTGCACGCTCCGAATCCTTGTCTATAGCTGAAAATCACATGTTGCAAATCATCAGCACGAAATTTATTTGGTTTTAGTTCATAAAGTGTTTGATTCTTACATGAACACGTTTCCCATGTTTCATGTCAGCATTGGTCTGTGATTACCCCAGTCTGCAGATTATACAATTTTTTATAATATCTAAGAGCTTTTCAATCTTTGATGTGGCAGTTTTAACACTTTATGTTAGTGTTTTAAAACATTCAACGTGAAGCTCAACCAGTTCAAGAGTAAATAAAAGAATCAAGAGAACATTTGAATATTATGAGGTAAAACAAAGGGATAAAGTTTGTATTTTTTAACTGTCAGACACCACAGTTCTAACCAAAGTGAGTTTAGGAGGTAAGAGAGACCGTACTTTATTTATTCAGAAACCCGGGCTGTGGTAGCTTGGTGGTCAGTGCTGCGGTCTTCTAATCTTGAGGTTGCGGGTTCAAGCCCAGGCTGCGTCAGGAAGGGTATCCTTTGGGAAACAAATTGCCAAATCTTTCATGCGAGTTTGCTCACTGTGCCGACTCGTGAAGAACGGAGCAGCTGAAAAAAACTTACTTACTATTCAGAAAACGCAGCTTGTCCCAGCTTTATAAAATGAATAGGCATCCAAAGATAATTAATGTTATTAACTTACTTTTTATATATATGAATGTTTCTGTTCAGTGCCCTGAGAGGACTTCTGCTGTGACTTGGTGCTGTATAAATAAACTGAAATGAATTAAAGTGTCCAAACACACATCATGATAAATCCGGACTGTAAGCTCACTGAGCTCACAAAAAGTCAGCTAAAGGCCTCTAAACCTCTCACTCTGCTATAAGCAGCAGAAACAACCAGCAATAACTCACTTTTCTTACAGCTGAGCCCTCCATGGCAGGACGGTGGAGGTCCACTGTCTGTGTCCTGTGTGTGCTCCTGTCTCAGTCCATTGCTGGAGAAATCACATGTTCTCACTCAGTCTGTCTGTTTCTTCTGCTCCACTCAAGGTCACCATGTTGCTGTTGACGAGGGACTCACGCAGACTGGATGTGCTATGGCAGTGGTCAGAGGTGGTAGTAGAAATCTCATTACGCCATTCAAGATTACCTCACAACCCCCACATGGCATTAATGCTAAATTAGTTAATCACTGCAGACGTAAATAGCTTTAAATGGACAAGGCACTGTAGTCGTCTGCTCTCTGAGCAAAAGCTTCACATTTGCGTACAATTAAAAAAAAAAAAAAAAGAACTGTTTTTTCGTGATTGATACATTTGAAATGCACTAGTTGTTGTTTAAACAAAACTTTTAAAAGGATCATAGAATCAATCTAAAAATCACTTTATGCTAATGTTTTTTTGAACCAGATTTTCTTTTTATTTAAAGTGTTATAAGTCTGTTCTCACTGACTGTAAATGGTGTAAATTATTTTGCTAGCACAATTGGAAAAGCAACATTATAAAAAATGTCTGCAATATTTAAATAAGTTAGTTTATTTTATAGTTTAAGTATTCAGATGTAATGACAGTTTTACAGTTATACTTTGCTTATGTTACTTTACTAATCACTCTGTTAATGTGTTTTTTCATTCATTCAACCTTTACTTGAACCGATTAATCTCATTGAGTCTCGGAGACTCGTTTACAAGAGAGACCTGATTTTAACAAAGAGTGATGACAACAGTGGAAAACTACGACAACAATAGACAATCAGAAAAGAGGCATACAAATTTACATTTTTTTTAATGCTGAGTCAGCATTAACACAATGGTTTGTCTGTTTAAAGCTTTATTAATTTTTTTTTTTACATTGTTTAGATTTCTACTTCAGCATACCTTTAAGCTATTTTAACCATCCATCCATCCATTATCGTTACCCGTTTATTCCATTTTGGGTCACGGGGGTCACTGGTGCCCATGTCCAGCAATCACTGTGCGAGGGGCGGGGTACACCCTGGACGGGTCGCAAGTCCATCACAGGGCCACATAGAGACAAACGAGACAAACAACCATTCACTCTCTCACTCACACCTAGGGACAATTTAGAGTTACCAATCAGCCTAACATGCATGTTTTTGGTCTGCGGGAGGAAACTGGAGTACCCGGAGAAAACCCACGCATGCACAGAGAGAACATGCAAACTCCACCCAGAAAGGCCCCTGGACCGGGGTTTGAACCAGGAACCTGCTCGCTGAGAGGCAGCAGCTCTACCAGTTGCGCCACCATGCTGCCTGCTATTTTAACCATTTATATCAAAACGTTCAGCTTGTTTGGGACATAATGGCTGCCTTTGTGGTTTTCTAACTAACGGCTCTAAGCGGCAGTCCTAAAAAAATGTATCCCCCCCCCCCCCCCCCATGTCAATTGTCGGCAGGATGTACTGAAATGAAATTTCCCCTTGGGGATCAATAAAGTATATTGAATTGAATTGAATAACTAATGTCATTGGGACTTTACAACTTTATTTCATTTTTTTGCAGGATTAAAATTAGTAGACATTCTTCATAGCCTTGAAAATTTTTGTGCTCTTTAAAATCTAACTCAGTATTCTGAATTAGAATTAATTCTGTTTTAGAATTGCGCCGCTCAAGGTGGCTGCATGTTCAAGCAGCTCTGTTACTTTCATTCTGAGATTTTGCTTTTGGAAACTTTAACTCCTCTTTTTCTGGATGTAAATCACATTTTTTGGATGATTGTTTCCTCTGGTATCAGATGCTGTGCAGCTGGAAGGATTTTTACTGAAACTTTTTTAGTTTTGGACATTTGTTATGATGCGTAACCATGGCAACAAGACAGTTTTCTACAACCAACAGCAGCTGATTAACATCCCAAAAGCTCAAATTATATCTCAACTACAGCCCCAAATCTCAAATGAGTTGAAAAGGATGTTCTGTGGATGCATTCTCATCTACCTGCCAGCTGTGATCGAGTGCCTGACCACTGAGATCCTGGAACTAGAAGGAAACATGGCTCATGACAGCGGAAGGACAGGATCGTCCCTCGGCACCTACAGTTGGCTGTCCGCAGGGACGAGGAGCTCGGCAGGCTGCTGGGAGGAGTGGCCATTGCTCTGGGAGGAGTTCTGCCCGGCATTCGAGCGGTCCTACAGCCCGGGGGAACAGAGAGGCCAGCTGAGTCTGAGTGGACGGATCGGACGGCATCTGCAGCCAGTTTCTTAGGATCCACTGTGGGATGGACCTTTACAAGAGATCCTTCCTACCTACAGCCATCAGCATCTATAACATCTCTTAATGAAATGAGGATAACGAGTTACAACAATAAATAATTTCCCTTTGGGATTAATAAAGTATTTTTGAATTGAATTGAATTGTATACCGGTACTTGCTTGGTTTTTATTTTTAATTTTAGCTCTACTTTTATTATTAATACATTTTTTATTATTAAAATAAGCGTTCAGCTACTGTTTTACCAGTCTTGTACCTAATGTTTTGCTAATGTTAGTGGGAAGTTACTGTTTGGCTGTTTTTTTATTTTTTTATTTTAACTTACAACTACCGCTTTTCCTAATTTTGGTTACCATTTACAAACCTTGGCTTTTGCTAAGTTTGTCTTTTTCTTAGTTTTGCTTATTTTACCTTTAAGCTATTACTACTGTATAATTATTTTGGTTTTCAGTGACGGTTTTGCTAGTTTTAGCTTGTAGCTATCATTCTTTGAGATTTAGCTTTTTCCTACTGTTTTTTTCAATCTTTACTTTTAGCACTGCTTTTTTTTCAAAATTAACATTTTAGCTATTGTTCTGCCGGTTTTAGCTATAAGCTATTGTTTTGCAATTTTTTTAATTTAGCTACTTTTTGCTAATTGTAGCTTTAGCTATATATATTTTTAATTATAGCTTCAGCTATTGCTTGCTAATTTTAACTTCCAGCTACTGTTTTATCTTGTCTTTTTCATCACCATTTTGCTAATTTGGGCTTTAAGCATTCTTTAGCTAATTGTTCAGCTTATTGTAGTTTTTATATTTTTTTGCCCAAATTTTATGTTTTAGCTTTTGTTTTACTAATATTGACTTTTAGCTACTACTTTGCTACATTTAGCTAGTAGCTGCTGTTTTATTAGTTTTAGCTATTAACTAACCTTATGCTAGTTATTTCATTGAGCCTCGGGGACTCATTTATAAGAGAGGCTTGTTTTTTTAAACAAAGAGTGATGACAACAGAGGACAACAAAGACAACAAAAGACAACCATAAAGGATGCCTAAAAATTGCGAATAACAAGTGAAAATAAAACTGTATTTAAAAGATGTAACAAAAAAACTAACAAAAAACAGCTTGGTTGTAAGGTGATGTTAAAACTTTTAGCTACTGTTTTGCTAGTTTCGACTTTAGTAACTAAAACTAGTACCGGTAATTTACCGGTACTAGTTTTAGCTTTTGGTTAAAGTTTTCCTAATTTTAGCTTCTTTGGATTGACTGATTTATAAATTCAGTTTTGGCTCCTTCAACAAACCTCAGCAGAATATTCATCAGCACTCAGCATTCACACTGGGCTTGAGCAGAAAATCTGATTAAATTGACTTTTTTTAAGTGTAACTGAAAAGTGCAGCACTGTGTAAAGCTCATACATACATATATATATATATATATATATATATATATATATAAAACTAATTAAAGGTGAGCATTTCGTTATCGGTATTGTCAGGGCAATC